AATTATTTCAATTTCAGACTACGACAAACTATGGACCTAGGAAGTCGAAGTGGGATTTTAAAGTTCTAGCTCTAATGGTGCCATGTAAAAAATGCAGTATATGACTCGTCAGCCTTGATGTCGTTCCGTCAATGTGACCGTCAATATGCGGGGCGCGGTGCGTTTTCTAAAGCTAGGGAGAGACGGAGAGTGACCATTGTCGTTACTTTTTCTTTCTTTTGTAAAAGGTCAGTTATCTACTGCATTTTTTTTCCATGGCACCATTGGAATTAATTAAGTATCCGACTTTGACTTCCTAGGTCAGTAGTTTTGTTTTACGATGCAGTAAAACTATTTCCGGAAATCTGGAATTCGAAAAGGTAATTAATTAATTTGGTGGTTTTGACAACTCTATGTCGCTCTTTGTAGCTATATCTATACATATATCTATGTGTGTGGAACACCTTTTTCCGACCGATTGATTATAATAATCATGGTTATGCCATTAAATAACATCAAATAATTTAACCTTGGTATTCATTGTAACTGTTGCGATATAAGCGAGTTCGTTTTTACTGTAATTACTGCTTTTCTAAAATAAACAATCACAATTATTTCACTGTTCGATTGATTGGTTTGATATAGTTTAATACGAGTAATAATATACCAGTAACATTTCGTTTTTACAAATCAGAAATAACTTTATAATTTAAACCCCCTGCTTTACTTTCTCTTTTTCCTCATCTGTATCTTAGTGTCTGTGTTGGCAATCAGACATTTTTTTACTACTGAGTGTATTATAAAATACTGCTAAGTTCTTCCTCTGCTTACTAGTTTATACTGTTTCTCACAATATGTTATAGACGAGTAGAGGAACACTCGTGCAAGGATTAACTTAAGCTCTAAGTAGGGCTACCTGCTCGACAACGTGTGACCTAGCCTTAACGAAAGAAAAGAAAAGGCTCGGACCACATATTTTATTTACAAGTACAAATGAAAAATCTGCAATAATAAAATAATATAAAAAAGTACATTAGTATAAAACACTCCCTACTAAACAATCCAGACACACTTACTCGAAAAGGACATATATATGCGTATAAAGTATATCTATAGGACTTAAAAAACAAAACATGTGAACATGTTTCCGTGGCTTAGTTGGCATAGCGTCTGCCACGGTTTGCTAGAAGATGTCGGTTCGAATCCAACTGGATTGAAGGAATTTTTTCTAAGTGTTCGGTCTTTGTATTATTAATTATAGTTATTTTATTTATTTATTTTTATTTTATTTATCTTAACGAAAGACCAACAGGTCAAAACTAAGTTATATAATAATAGTAACACTCACAAATAGAAACATAATATAAGAATGCACAATTTAACTAACTTATCGTTGTTATCGTAACTTTAATACGTAAACCATAAAACTACTGCCGCAGTTGCAAGCCTCACTATGAGTCAAGGAAACTCCCAGTCAGTGCTCTCCTCGCCGAAATGAAAAGATCAAAGGAAGTACATGGAACGTTAAAATTATTGCTTCCACGGCACAAAAACTCATTTTGCCTGTAATTAGTCCGTGCCGGGCGTAAAACCAAAAGTGAATTATTTCTCAAGGATTTACAAGGAACTCTAAGTGATATTTGTGATATTAATTCCGGACAATCAACTGAACCTGATGCTATTTATAACAATAATTATAACACACTAGTGGAGTAACTCACGAAAAAAAATGGAATATCAATTCAATACAAATTTAAAAACAATATGTCGAATTTCGAAAACCAGTTGAATGCGAATCGAAAGTCATTTCGCAAAGAACTTCAGTCCTTTATTTTTTTATGGTATCAAGTGACGGGACGAAATAGTGGTGCGCCTGGTGGTAAGCGACACGCTTGTCCATAACACTTGCAGTGCCACTCAGAGCTTTAAATCGCAAATCTCAGAGGGGCACTACAGCGCTCGTCACGCTGGGGCGTAATGAAGCGATGTGGTTCATTAGAATCGTCGTTATGATCATAGATATATGAAATTAGAACATCATATTTACACTAATGTGCATAATATTTTATATTTCATTATATATTTTGAGTACTTAATGTTCTTCAATTAAGTTTATATTATATGACTTCTTGTTAAAAATAGCAACAGGGTTATGATGAAAATTAAAACGATGATACGAAAACCGTCTTATTATATTTAATTAACGTACAAAACACAAAAATAGAGCGTTGTCCGGTGAGTACAACAGGATTCGCGGACAAAATTTACAATATCAACCTGTGTACTTACTACATGAAAGTTTCGGGTACATTAATTGCTTTTATATTTAAAAAAATGTAAACAGGTGTTTTTTTATACAAGTGTTAGATTTTCGTCAGAGATTGTCAGCGCTAATAGCATAGTATAATAAGACAAGTATTGTAACTCCCGCCTGTTCGGCGTGTCAATGCCTAAACGTCGCTCCCGACGTAGGGTTGTCACTTTGTCATATTATAATTTTAGTTGTACAGACAAGAGCACATCGTGCTTGACACTTTGTACTTTAGACCGTTCTTATCGTAAGCGGCATAGAGTTGGATTTAAGTCTTAAGTGTCAAACTTGACGTGCTCTTGACCCCTGTAAATAATAATAATAATTTTTATTTCAGGAATTTAGTCCCATATTTACACACACAACACAATAATAAAATCAGTAGTAAAATTAAAACATATAATTAAAATATAGAAAAAATCTATCTAAAACCAAAAAAAAACTTAAAATCAAAATAATAAAATGCAGTAGCTAATAAAATTTGTAATTATTATTAAAATTATCAAAATATAAAATTAAAATTGTTAAAACTAAAATTATGAAAATTTTGAACGATAAAAATAAAATAAGATTGTGTAAAGAAATAATAATTACATAAACATGCACTTATTTCCCATTCGCACTCTGGTGCACGTTTCGCCAGTGTTTAAAAAATTACTTCTATAGTCCGTGCCAACAACCGCCACAAGTTCGTTATCTGAATCACGTACCCCCTGCCGGTAATTGGAAATCCTACATCTAAGCAAGGCGACAAAATCAGGCACTCCCGCCCCCGCAAACATAGCTGATGCACTGCAATATCTTGGCAGTTTCAACACGATGCGGAATGCATCATTGTATTGCACCCGAAGGACGCCGTAGGCTCTCCTTGTGTACTTTATCCACTGTTGACACGTGTACATACTTTAGCAAAAAGCTTTAAGTAAAGTAACTTAGATACCCTACGAGCACTTTGAAAATCTACGTGCCAGCATATTGCAGCGCACTGCCAGGCCCTGAGCGCTCGCTCCATGTCACTATCGTCACTAAAATTTTTCATACGTACGTGATCCAGATAACGAAATTGTTTCACTACCCGAACTGATGAGCCGTTTAATAATAATGATGGGATTCTCTCCGGTCCCTTCCCCGCCCTAAACACCATAAGCTCTGTCTTTTTGACATTATACGTCATGTCATGCGTGAACGCGAAGTTCTCACAAAAGGCTAATAGTCGACGCAGCCCCCGTCAGACGGGCTGAGAAACACCATATCGTCGGCGTAGCTTAAATTATTGAAACATACATTTTGAATCTGACATCCAATGACGGTGCCTCTCAGCTCGTCGATCAGATCATTGGCGTAGAAATTGAAAAGGTCCGGAGAGGTGGACTTACCTCTGACCCCTAACATAAAGCATGATTTCAATAAATTAAGCGTTCATTACAGTATTCTCGTATTGTATTGACACAAACTTTGTCAAATGCAGTACTTACATAATGATGATGTTTTTATTAAATTCTCAATGGAAGTATGATTATGAAATAGGAATGAAATGGGAGTTTTTATTTTAGCATGCATTATTATAATTTAGTCGATGAGCGAACGTATCTAAACGCGGGAGTGAGAGGGAAGGAATGTCCAAGAGAGAGGGAGGATTTGAAATTAAGGAAGATAATACGAGCGCGTGGGTTTTTTTTTTGGAAGAGGTAAATACGATGGGATATGTGGAAGACGCAGCAAGAATGAAGTAATAATTTTTCGCCTAATCCTTTTCTTAGATTAAGCCACATACATACCTAACTAAAAAAATTTTCAATCTCACAGCACATTTATAAATAAATGAATATGAATTTGATACAAAAATATTTTTAGCTCCGAGCGGACGAACGCTTCAATTCTATAATGAATGGTGTGTGCGACTCCCGCTGTGCAACTCAGTACACCGCGAGATTATGTGGGCGTCCGTAAAGGCGGGCTGGCTCATATACAAGACACTTTTGTATAGTCACAGACTAGGTCTTATTATATTATACTAATTGCCTGTGTGAAATAATTATGTTGGTGTTTTAAAACGAAGTTACTTATATATAGAATATATAGAACATTTATGAAGAACTTTAGTCTAAAATTTTTGTGCATTTGCGGATGAGAATACAATTTGCCTCGTATATAGCACACAAGTAGAAATTCTCATACATGAGAATTAACGTCTGGCAACTTTAATTAAAATTCGTATCAATTCGATAGAGATAGTAGATATTATATAACAATAACAAAAAAGATCAGTCTTTGTACCTTACCAATTTTTATATTATAAACTAACGACTTGTTTCCAAGATATGTTTCAACGTTTGATTATAATTAGGTTGACTACAAATAAATAAAATAAAATTTATATTTGTCTTTTTATATTTATTTACAGTATGCACTGAGTCTTTTTATAGTTCTGGAGAGGTTCAAATATACAATACGCTTGTGAAACTTAAGAAACATATTACCTAGCGTAATTGGTTATTAAGAAGTAACTAATGTTAAAATAATATAATAATATTTACGTAAGAACAACAACTTAGAACGTATTTTCCACCTCTGAAATCATCTTGTTCGCAGAAGACGCGAGTTTTCCATGTCAGAAACCCTGAGAGGTTCTGTCATAAATCATGAAGAGATAATGTTTGGTCCATTGTCCATTAACGGCGTCCAAAGAGATGATTTGTAACGAGTAGCGCGACGTGTAGAATAGTGAATGGTGGTCGTATCTTCGTGTTATTGTTTATATCTTGGTGACCTGCCGGATCCAGTCGCGTACGGCGGAAACACGCGAGAAAACCACGAGCGCGCCATTGAAGCATCGGTGCGCGTCGTCTTGCACCCACGACGCCACGCCGTAGAGTTTGCCATTCGCTACGAGACCACTGCCGCTGTCGCCCTGAAATGAGGTTCAGTAAAGTAGCACTTTGTTGAGGAACATGACGTGAAGCAACGGTTTGTTATAAACTTTGATACGTTTCATTGTCAAGTAAGTAGATAATTATAAGCCATTCAAGTTCAAGTATCGTACAAAAAAACTAAAAAATTGTATTTGCTATTGAAACCTTTAGAACTAGTTGGTGGATTATTATATGCTTATAGTAGGCATTAAACTTGTATTTATTTTCGTACTTTTAATGTCATCGAAGAAGATATTCTCTAACAAAGATTTATTCAGTATATAGTTTTAAAGATTATTTTCAAACAATTTTTTTTAAATAAAACATTTAACATTCGAGCTCTATCTATGTTACACATTGTATCATACTGGTTCCACATTGTAATGCTCGATTTTCCTTCCTCACTGGTGTAATGCTCGAATTTGAACTGTTACATTACAAGCGAACGTTCGGTGAGAGAGCGTCCTAACCTGGATGGAAAGTGACGATGCGGTCGAAGATGGAGCATGCACACCTAAATAATGCCTACTCCGTCTCGCCTAGAAAGTTTTACAGGAACTATTTCCTAGGAGATCTGAAATTATGTGACAAGGACAAATATTAGATGCAACAGTTCTCCCAAAGTAAAACTGTAATTTACTTACATTGCAAGCGGAATCGTATCTAGGTGCGCGGCCCTTCGTGCACAGCATGGTCTTGGGTTCATACTCTATCAAAGCCTCCTGGCATACGCTGTCCGCCTTCACCTCCAGATCCATGCTATGCATCTCGTTGCGCATGTAGTCCTGCAATTAACCTGTTACTTAGCACCACAAAGTACATACGTAATTATTACTAGAGTAGTAGTTATAGTTAGAAGCCTTAAATGTCTTATTAACTTTCCACCGGCTTCGTACGATTATGTCACAAGGGCAATTGTGAACAGAGGGACAGATTCAAATGGCCTTTAATGTTGCAAAACGTTTGTAATTTTATTGCTATTCCGCCCTTGTGTCATCCTATCTTTTTTATGACACTTGAGAAGAAGTTACAAAAAAACGAAAATTATACGTAAAAAACTACAACGTAGTTCACTAATATTGTACTTAGAAAATTTTAATTACCAAGGAAATAAAAGTTATACAAAGAAGTCAAGTTTCTTGTTTTTTCTTGTATTAATGTAGCATGTGTATCACCAAGCTATTGTTTTTTTCCAGTGGTTGACTGGTAGAGGATGGCTTATGACAAATAAAGTAAATAAATTATATACATTTATGATTTTTGTATGAATACATTTTATAAATTAAATAATAATAATATTATTATTTATTTATTGAGCATTGGCTATGGATGCCTTCAGCTTAAACAGGTAACAAATAATTAGGAAACTCAAAACATAAATTAAAAATATAACGTATGAAAAAACTGTAAGCACTAAAACCCGCCATTTTCAATGTAATAATAATATAAACAATAAAATTTTTTATTTCTCTTTTTTGCCTTGACTTTACGTATGGATGAAACAGAAAATCTTTACAAATATGACATAATAAATGAGAAAATAAATAAATAAAATCAAATAGTTCACAGCTTTTTGGGGTTTAACATTTGTCCACGCTCACAGTGGACACCCGGTAGCGGGAGCGTAGTAATTTGTAAAATGTCTTACCGCCCTAGACAGTGAGCATAACAAGTATAATATCATTGGCCCTAGATATGATAAAAATATCGCTTAGGTTTGCTGCACGTTGTACTACTACTACGATCAAGTATGATGAAAAGATAGTGAAAATATGATATCCCAAAAAATCTGATTTTATTTCCAATTGGTAAGGTGGCAGTATTATCCTGGATGAACTCTTTCGCAAGGAGCTCTATTGCTGCGGAAAAATATGTTTTTTTCCTGAGATGCGATTCCTTTATTCTTATAACTGGGGGTATAGGAGTATATACATATATATGAAAATATTTTAGACATAAAATTGTATTAAGTATTTTGAAAGTCGTACTTACACCATGGTGTTCTGCGCCGTAACCCGCGAAGCTGACGGCTAGACCCTCGGGCACGTCTGATTGGTCATTTAAGTCCGCAGCGGCTATCTTTTTGCCGTCTAGCGGCAATGGTTCTTCCAGTTCAGCTAACATAAAGTCCCAGTCAGCTGCTACCTGTGATATAATTGTCGTAAGAAGATCTTCTTAAACATTGAGTAGATACGTTATGTACATACCTAATATTTCTTTATCGAACGATGACCAGCTGTTAATGTATTCATGAAATAGAGCAGAATGGTATGCATGTTCACTCTCGCTTTGAAAAGATCCAAGTTACAGTGTTCACGGAACAAATATTCACACCAATGCCGTACTTACAATTCGTATCTTTGGTATAATAAAATAACACCTCAATAGTGCTTTTGTATATATGAAAGTATTAAAGTTATATATATATATATTTTATAATATCAAGTGACGGGACGAACAAGTCGTGCGCCTGATGGTAAGCTACATGCCTGTCCATAACAGTTGCAGTATGACTCAGAGTTTTAAATCGCAAAGATCTCAGGGGCGCTGCTTGATACATAAGTTGACAAGTTCCATGTGCCTGTAATTTCACCAGTACCCTTACC